AGTATCCCAAAAATCCAGCCTAATCACCGGCTCCTAAAACTGCAACACAATCAGCACTTTTCCCCGCAACTCGTTGTCCAGACGTAAATATGCTTGCGCGCAACAAGTGCCGCACTTTCAGCTGCCAAATAATTGCTTCCAAATAAAGTCGCTAGGAACAGCGGAGATCCCAAAAAGTAAACAAAAGTAAAAGTCTAATATCTCGAAAACCGGTGAATATTTTTCGGTGAAATTTGGTAGATATTCGTTTTCGCTCTTTCTGAACCGAGCGACATTACTTTCATGCCAATTCATAAACTTTTTTGAAGGTGGGAGGGTCCCTTTAAAGAGAGGTTGTTGTGGGTTTTATCGGAGTCCTGATTTCGAATTTGGTATTTATTTCAATCAGCGATGAGACATTCAGGAAGTTGGGATAGGTCGACTCAGGCCAGGTCAGGTCAACCAGAATGCGTCCCGTCGCCCGCCGACTATCCACAACAGTAGTAGGTTTAAAGCGCCACTAACAACTTCGTAACATGCTGCGTAGGCACCCAAACTACTTCACAGATGTTGCAGTTAGTGCCGAATTTGCAATCAGCCCCAGAAACTAGTATTGAAGTTCGTATAACTCGAATAATTACGTGAGGTCACCATAGGTCAATGATCTTTGACCGACCTTGAATTGACCTTGATACCCACCATGATGCATGGGAAACATAATAACACATGTTGGCACGTTTTCAATCACAAGTCTGGAAACGCACCCATATACGACGAATCGCGATTCCTGCCTGACACGGTCTCGGGGAACAGGTCACAGGTCAAAGGTCATTTAGGTCAGTGCCATGAAATTTTCACGATATAAATATGTAAAATTGGTTAACTCGAGGGTACTGAAGCTTTCATCCTTTAATCGGCCTCGTTTTTTTTTTCTTGGGAATAGAATTATTCACGAAAACCGTGGAGGAAGGTCCATCTGATTCCATATACCTAAGTGCGTGAGTTGAAGCAATTTAGTGCGATCTTATTCCGAATTACAGCTACCTACCTGCATTAACCCTCGCCCGCACATGGTGTGTGTGTGTGTGTGTGTGGGGGGGGGGGGGGTGGTTGCCACCCCCCAGGTAGTCTTTCTGCTCTGCACTCAACAGTTTTAGAGCTAGAAGGCTGATTTTTCGTGTAGCTGCTCCTCTATCCTTTCTTGATGTCCACTAAAAATTTCAAGTTTCTGTGGCTTTTTGTTTCGGAGATATGACCTTGTTTTTCAGGTCATGTCATGACCCAAATGGCCAATTCTCAACATCTTGCGTTGGCTACACTGTAAACCAAATTGACAAGTCTTGTGTAATATAACCAATCATCTCTTGGTATGTTTACCAACTGATACTTTTCAAACAAGCCGTTGTCTGGTGCATTGCTTGTCAGGTGACAACTACGAGTCAATAGTTACTATGCACACCAACTTCTCAGTATCCAGACCAACTCTACATTTGTTTCAACGTTTGTTTCTTAACCAGTTTTGGAAACTTGTTGCCGCATGGTTATTTAACCGGCGCCTAACTTGTACTGGTCAGCTGGTCAGCATACACATGGTCAGCTGCGCCCGTGACGTCAGACTTGGCGGACCAATCAGCGGTCGCCGTCCGGCCCCGGCGCGGCGGTTTCAAACCGTTCAAACCAGCAGTTGTCGCGCGGCCGCCGTGCAGCATGGATCAGCGACGAGGGCTGTTCCAGCATTTGTGCAGTAAAAAGTGAAATCTGTGAACTGTGGTGTTCGTGCTGTGAGTGAGGCCCGCTCTGGCCTGCGGGACGCACTAATCGTGCCTATACCCGCGGTCGAGACGCCTCCCTTCCCCTGCGCGCGCAATGTAAGTGGGCCAGACCTTTGCATGCACATGTGAGCAGATGTTTTGCGGTCGGTGTTTTTTATATATAAATACATTTATTTGCCTTTAATTCAACTCTTTGTATTTTTAACTTAACTGATGGACATATATGGGCTGTAAAAGCTAATCTGGTTGGCGATCATGCTTTATTCGAATTATCTGCGTGATCGTGCAACTGCCATGATTGTTATGGTCAATGTGGAAATATTCGTCATACGGGCATGTTATACTTCTGGCTTGATGCGATGCACAAAACCATGTTCTTCCACATGCGCAGCAGTTCTTGCTTCAAAGACTTATATGCTGACGGTGCACGATAGGTATACCTTATACCTCATGCATTTACCACATCCATTCGAAAATATGCACTTGGAATTGTCTCCAGTCAATAGTATTAATTACATACTACGTGATGTAGGTACGTGACCGTAATAAATACAAATGATTCCAGAAACTTCCGAATGGATGTGGTGTATGCATTCATCGATTATATAACCCATCAGTATTTCGTTTCTTGTCAGCGCAAGCCTTTGAGCAATAACTGATGCCAGTCATGATTTTGTGCACCACTTCCAGCCAAAAAATGACCTGTCCGTATAGAAAATATTTCCTGAATCAGTATCGTGGCAATTGAAAACGAACGCGAATCGTAAGTTCTTAAGGTTATCAACGCAAACAAAGCGATTGTAAGAAAGAACAAGTTCGAACTGAGCGTTAGTACACTTACTTGTTGACAATTTGTAAACTAGCAATGCCCAGTCAAAGGCTAGTTCATCAACAAACCAGGGGTTGTTGAACCGACAAGGAAACGGCTATGCCTATCCAGAAGTTGGTAGGTTCACAAGGCCCAGACTAGTACTCAACAAGGTGACGCCTATGCGAATTGGAACCAAACTTGTAGACAAACTGTTAGTTTGTTGGCCAACACGCCTGGGGTTGGTGAATCGACAAGGTGACGCCTATGCGAATTGGAACCAAACTTGTAGACAAACTGTTAGTTTGTTGGCCAACAAGCCTGGGGCTGGTGAATCGACAAGGTGACGCCTATGCGAATTGGAACCAAACTTGTAGACAAACTGTTAGTTTGTTAGCCAACAAGCCTGGGGCTGGTGAATCGACAAGGTGACGCCTATGCGAATTGGAACCAAACTTGTAACAAGGAGCCAACTTGTAGATTTGGTTTACAGTGTATGGGCCTTGTGAGCTTTCGACACCTTGATTTCGGCCTTTTTTGCCAGTCTAACCTGCCACCTATCATGGAACATGTTGTTCGACGATGTACAGATGTCAAGGTCAAGGTCAAGGTCAACCTAGGTCATCTAAGATAATTGCGTTTTAGGCAAGCGAAAATTACTTTTTGTGAAGTTTTTTGACTGCATTTTTGGTAAAAGCTTCTCAGATCATGGTTTCATGTAATATGGACACATACACAATCGATGCACACATCAGTATACACACAGACACACACAAACATACAAATACATATAATTGACCTTGACCTAACTTGACCTGAAATGACCTCAGCAGCAAAAACATGGTCGGGTAGAGTGACAAGCGTGTGTGTGTGTGTGTGTGGGGGGGTGGTTGCCACCCCCCAGGTAGTCTTTCTGCTCTGCACTCAACAGTTTTAGAGCTAGAAGGCTGATTTTTCGTGTAGCTGCTCCTCTATCCTTTCTTGATGTCCACTAAAAATTTCAAGTTTCTGTGGCTTTTGTTTCGGAGATATGACCTTGTTTTTCAGGTCATGTCATGACCCAAATGGCCAATTCTCAACATCTTGCGTTGGCTATGGGCCTTGTGAGCTTTCGACACCTTGATTTCGGCCTTTTTTGCCAGTCTAACCTGCCACCTATCATGGAACATGTTGTTCGACGATGTACAGATGTCAAGGTCAAGGTCAAGGTCAACCTAGGTCATCTAAGATAATTGCCTTTTAGGCAAGCGAAAATTACTTTTTGTGAAGTTTTTTGACTGCATTTTTGGTAAAAGCTTCTCAGATCATGGTTTCATGTAATATGGACACATACACAATCGATGCACACATCAGTATACACACAGACACACACAAACATACAAATACATATAATTGACCTTGACCTAACTTGACCTGAAATGACCTCAGCAGCAAAAACATGGTCGGGTAGAGTGACAAAGAGGTTCTAGCTGGCTTGGCACCAGAAAACGGCATCGTCATCGGTATATGATAAGCAGCGCACGTGATATCCAACGGTGACCCAAAACAGCAACATTTTTTAGTTTGACCTGACCTGGAAGGTCAATGACTGACCTGAGAAGGTAAAACTGGGTATCATTGGATTCGTCTCTTCCCAAAAAAATCTTTTTGGTCTTTACCGCTAAGCTCTATCTCCAACAGGAACGAAATGGCGCGGGGGGGGTGGCACCCCCCCCCCCATGTGCGTTCTAGGATGGGAAAATGGCATGTGCGGGCGAGGTTAAATATGATTAACAGGTGAATCATGGTGCGCACTTTAGACTATTTTTTTTTGCATAATATGGTATGCGTCAACTGCACTGAAAACCTGAATAAAGAATAGAGCTGTTTTTTATATAAAGCTCCGTCAGCATCCATTTACATGTTTGTGACGGTTGCACATCGGCATAGCCAGGGCAAGTCACGGAGAACACGTATCCTCCCCATTGGGTTATGGAGGTTCCGACTTCGCAGTTGAATAATCACCTATCGGCGTCTTAGGGACCACTACGCAATCTCCAAAAATTATATACTCCACTCGCCTTTCAAAGCTCTATACCTCCCACACTTCACAGCCTACATCTGCAGACTTCTCAAGTCCAGATGGTAGATAGCTCAAGGTCTTTAGCTCTAAGCCTCTTCGCTGGTGCACCAGCGCGTCGTCCGAGGACTGGTCTGAGACCGGCCGGGCGCCGGGACACCCGTCGAGTGCCGTCGGTCGCACACTGGGACTCAGTCGGCGCGGCCCTGACCTCGGCGGTGCCGGCGGGCGCGGGCGGCGGCCGGCCGCACGTGAGTCTCGCCGCCCAACACGTGACTGCGGCCCGATCAATGTGACGTCAGCGGCCGCTCACGTGTCGGCCCGCGCGCGGCCGCCGCCGCCGCCGGCGGCCAGTGGCGCTCGGTGGCGGGGTTCCGGTGGATGCCGGAACGGGTCCGGCCGACGGGGCGCGCCCAGAGACGTGCCGAGTCAGAGCTGCCGACCGACTGCTCTGCGGACCGACGGAGGTGTGAGCAGTGAACGTGCATCGCGGGCGACGGCGCGGAGCGGCGCCGGAAGACTGCGGCGCGGTGCATGGATGCTGGATGTGGGCGGCGTGCAGAGGCGAGGGGCGGTAGCGACAGACGAGTGATCTCGAACTGGGGTGGACCCAATGACAGAGTGAAGGACTATGGAACAGTGGAGCCAGGCGTGGCACTGGAGACAGTCTTCCGACGAGTGAGTATCGCACAATACGCATAACGCACGCAGCTCTAACACAACACGCACGTGCCACGTCACATGCACACACGTGGATAAGCTTTGAGCATCATTGAACAGTGAGCAGTGAGCACTCGTCGACATTTGCATAATAAAACCAACATTGCTGCTTAAAGCGTACGAGGAAGTCGTATCCCCCTGGACGGTCACAGGTTGAAAAACAAATGATAGCAAACGTTCCTTGACACGAGTAGGAGTGTTCTGTAACGGTGTTTTACCTCTAGTCGATCGAGAAGAATCCATGTAGTAAATGTTCCCACTTATCTCTTGCAGCGTTGGTGGTCTATAATATTTGCGATGTTCCGTCTGCAAAAGAAATGCTTAAGAACTAATCATTGCAATGGTATCAGGCATCATCAGCCATGCTGTTCAATGTGAAGTAAAGCTTTTTGATATGCAGACTATAGGAATAAAATCGTGCAAGGGTGAGAAACCAGTCTACAGTGAGCCGTCTTCTGCACTTCATCCTCAAAACGTTCGATCAAAACAGATCCTTGCTCAAGCCTCGACAAAATGTGTCAACGTGCGTAATGTTTTCCAGCAAACAGGCGTCTAGTAGGACTTAGAGCCATGGAATCTTGACTCCGACTCTGGATTAGGACTTCGGAGTCGACAAGAGTTTGTTGACTCCAAATCTGACTCCTGCTCTGGGCAGAGTTGACGATGCCGAGGTGACTGACATACTGACTCCGACTCTGACTCCATACTCCATAGCCCTGCGTCCAAACAAGTCGATTTTTTTTGTCCGGGTGTGTATCTTTTGATGTTGACTCCTGGTTAAGGCAAAGTTAAAAGCTGATTAGGTCAGGTTGCTGGTCAACATAATCATGCGATTTGACAGCTAATTCTGAGATCGAAACGTCTTGCCTGATTTACTAACGCGATGTGATCGAACAAGGACGGAAAACTCCGTTGACCTCAACTAGCCTCTTTGACATTTTAGGTAAGTATATGGTTATACGAGGGGGTATCGAAAAGTTCTGATCATCACCATGAATTAGATGTGATAGAAATTTGATTTTTTTATATGATGTTCATTACTCCTTTACAAGTCATTACACACGACTGCAAACTTATTGCATCGTTTCTTGAGCTGCCTCAGGCGATTATTGTAGGACCTTCGCACTGTCCCGTAAATCACTGCTCCACCTCATCAATGACTTCATTTCTGTCCTTAAATCACCGGCCATACTATGGAGTATTCATCTACCGTAACAATCAAGAGTCAGTTAATACCCGGTCAGGTGAATTTCTTAGATGCGGTAAGATTTAATGTCCTCATCATGTTGTTTCTTCAATCGCAGCTCAGGACGAATGGGCGGGGGCGCTGTCGGTGCGGATAAAACATCTTTCTTGGGCTTTTTTACGGCGATTCTGCTTGAGGCCATCTCGAAACTTCTTCAAAAGTGTGCAGCATTGCTTGCTTATCATTATCCGACCATCATCAAGACAGTCGGTGATGACTATCCTACGCCAGATCCAGAACACTGATAGCATTGACCTTCCATATCGGTTTCTGCATCTTCGCCTTTTAAGAAGGACAGATATGCCGTGCTTATACTTCTTGGTCATCTTTTTGTCTCTGGATCATACACATAGACCCAGCATTCGTCACAAGTCATCAAATGATCGAAGATGTCTTCAATTTCCTAAAAAAGGCCTAGTTTTCATTTCGGAAGGCCAAGACGCATTTTTCTCTTGAACAAAGAAGACACACGAACTTCTAAGCGGGCTGACTCCTTTATCGTCTGTAGTTCTTCGCTGATAATATTTTCAGGCACTGCCAGCATTGAGACCTTTCTGTTGCACAATCATCTGAAAGGTCACACGACGATCTGTAAGGATGAGGTCCTCCAATTCCTTCACAGTCGTCACCTTGTCAGTCACTGGTAGTCACTCACTTCTTGACTCCCCTGCAAGGGTCATGCAACCAAGTTGAAAATTATTTCTTCATTTTCGGTAAGTGCATGAGATGGGCTATCCTCGCCATAAACTAATTTCACGTTCTTGATGTATTTTCTCAGTGTGATACCGTTTCAAATGCATTAGTTGTATGATGGTTCGGTCCTCAATGGGCCCAATACTCATCTTTTTTACTTCTAAGTCTCTCCTACATAAGATAAAACCACTTCTCAGGATTCTCTTTGCGGGAGCATTGTTCTTAAGAACCAAATATAATACCAACCAAAAATCATCAAAATCGGTCTATACCTTCTATGTGATGATCAGAACTTTTCGATACCCCCTCGTATATTGAGTAGGAAAAAATCATTAGGTAGGTGTATTACTCATTAGGTAGGTATATTAACGCCACGCAAGGCCCTATTGCAGTGGTCGACAGTTCCTCCGGGGTCGTGCCCCTTTTTCGGGCGCCAGGCAGGGTCATTGCCCCCACCTACCAGACCCCATTGCCTACACAGCCAAGTTTACTGAAATGCCATACTTTTCCGTGACTCTTTGAGTATTTTGGATATTATTATGTAAAAAGCGTTGGATCACGACAAAATTGTACCCTCGAGCCGATCTTTTTTTTTTTACCTGCCCTTAAACATTTAATGACCTTAACACAAATAACCGTTGACTTGTTAGTTCTTTCTGGAGATCATGGTTGGCCCTAAAATCTCAATTCCAGAAGTTACAGCGGGTCCCGATCTTCTCGACAATTGTCATTGACCTCTTGAAAGTCGTCCAATGGCCAAGAAACTTAAAATTGGGTAGCAGCGGCTTCCTATCGTCACGGGTATCACGCTCGTTTTTTTACGCAAAGCTCCAGCTCAGAGGCTGAGAGGCTGGGGCCCGATTAGGCCCCTCCCTCTTTACGTTAGCTGCTGTGAAAATGCCAATAGACGGGTGAAGGTTAGCATTCAGTCTGGAATTGTCTTTGAACCCGGGGACCAAACAGTCGTGATGTCTGTCACATGTCCGGTCCCGTAGCTCAGTTGGTTAGAGCGTTGGACTCCGCGTGGTGAGAGCACGCGTTCCCGGTTATAACAGTCCGGGTTCGAAGCGCGACGGGCGCTTGACATTTATGGGCCTCCTGACAGGTATGGTTGCGGTTGGTGGCAGGCCGTAGCCAGGTGAAGTCAGCGAGGGGACCGGCCGTGCGCGGCTATGTGCGCACGTTAAACTTTGGACTCCAAATTCTGCCATAGAACTGGAATTGCGCGATCGGAGGGTAGAGGGCAGGGTCACCGCAACAAGCTTCGCTTAGCGGTGGCTCTGTCCTTGTGAATCCTTCCCATCAAAAGGTTCGGACTAAATTTATAAAAAAAAAAAAATAAAAAAAAAATCAAGGGAGCCATTAATTCTAAGATGAGGCTTTCTCAGAGGCCCTCATTACCCCCCGCCGAGGGGCTCCATTATCCCCCAAAGGGGACATGCCCCACCATTTGCCGGCCCTTGGCCCTTCCTGGCTTGGAAAAACTACAACTCTGAGAGATTCCTCTGGAAAAAGTCCCTCGAATGCATCAGAGATGCAGCATTTCCCTGTGGGGAGAGAAATGCCATCTGGTACAGGAATAGGTATCTGACAAGTTACCCTATTAAGTCATTTATCGATGATTTTCAGACGCATATGGCTCCGAACCAGGGCTAATAAGCCCACGGAGAACAAGGGTGCTTTCTCCACCCATTTCCAATGTTAAAAGTGAATAAGCCCCTGTAGCGTCCGCGTGGTAACTTCACCTGTTCTGCGTTCGTCTGCGCTATAGTTTACCACCAAAAAAGGCGTTTTATTGCGCGATATTATACAACATTCCGGGTTTTGTGCCCAGGGTCTACGTCACTGTACAATTACGGAAGTCATTATTGAGCTGGTCATCTCCACCTTGGCAATTACGCTGCTATTCTATACCCCTCAAATTATAATTATTGGTTGGGTTATAAGTGAACCAAGAAAGACCATTACATCTCCCCTTGTGTCTGGGGGCTCCCGGCGTTATATCTAGCTCGCCCGTCCCTCTTGCCGGCGATGTGCATCCATTGGTATGTGCGAGTGCGTCACGGGCGCAGCTCAGGCTGTTCATTTCAGTTCTGGAGCACTCCGAAAGCGGAGCTCTGCCGCGGGCTTTGTCGCTGGCTGCGGTGTAGCGCGACGCTCCATTGAACAACACATGCGTCATTTGACAATAAATCGCTGCTGTTACTGGGCCCTTGCTGCATCAATTTTTCGCGTGAGATGATTATGCCTGCATACTCAGTATGCTATTATAGTATCAGCTTCACCGGCTATCATATAATTAGTGCCATCAGCTAAATCAGTTTTCTGTCCAATCTGCTTTTTTAAAGTACATACAAAGTAAAAATTTCACTTCAGAGATCTTCAATATGATTATGAATAGAGATACTAACGTCACGTATTGTATACATGTGGATTTGATAATTTTTAAAAAGCGGCTTCCGAATGTCAGCTAAAAAGGTGAATGCCACAGCGGGACTGTTGAGAAAGATTTTTGAGTTTTACTGCAGTTGTAAGCTTTGTGAATGATTCCTTGTTTATATTTACATTGTTTTATTAGCTGTGACCATCGCCCGTATTTGTCTTTTTACAATATATCCCAATATACAAGAGGGGACGCCGGACGGATCCATCAGCCGTTCGGCCCTTGATTGAACTAAATTGGAGGCTTTGCTGATAAACTGAGCCTGTCTCTCGTGACTAGACGGAGCCATCGATGTCCAATTTTATGGTTCTAGCCTTCTAGGTCAGCAGCTGACCCTTCAGCTCAGGTCAAGTATGGTTCTCCTAAACTTAGGGGTCGACCTCGATGTCAGATCGGCTCGATCTGAACTGTGATGCACCCGAGTCTCAAGGAGATCGAGACGCTATACATGTTCTTGTAGTGAGGGCATTCCGAGACGTTTAGGGAATACAATTTCAAATTTAGCCTTTTTTTTGTTCAAACGTGATAATTTGTGCATTATGTGTAGGTGAGATGAGGTCAGGCGAGGTCACGTCAGAACGACCAGCAGGGGCCCCGCTGATTATTCTTAGTAGGCTAGTAGCTATTTATTTATCACCACTGTTAGCTTCGACACATGCTAGTGAGCTAAAGAGTGGTTGATGGTTCCCAAATGTGTTGTTTATCTCGAAACTAGCAAAGATTAAAAGAAGTTGTTCAATTAATCAATCAAGGTTTTAAAACGTTAATGATATTGAACACACTAACCGGTAACCTAGAAACCAACCCCTACCACATGGGGTGGGGTTCACCATTAGCCACCATGCTAATAGTCGATCATTTCTATTATTTCACAAGCTGGTACACACCATAGCCTAAATAGTTCATCATTATTTGACATGCTGGCATGCTTCTAGTCACAAGTTTGGAAGCTTACCAACATTGGGGTGCTGAGCGCTAACAAAATTATTGTGATTCGAGTTATAGCTCGAATCACAATTCTTGTCTAACGCTATCTTGAGAAAGAGGTCACTGCTCAAATGATATTTGTTTCAGGGGTGAGGGGTCATTATATTATCAGGGTAAACATTGCCAAATTGATGATCATGTGGTTGCTGGAAGTTTTGTCACTATAGTCTCTTTCTTATACGCGTGCTTTTTATGAAAAACCAACCCAGGTGACTCCATCTGACTTCCCCTGTAAGTGCGAGGATCAAGGCTGAATGCATAATATTAACGACAATTATCCTCGTAATATCATGGAATTGCAAAAGTTATCTTTATTGGAAATTAATGTGAATGGTGTACCTAGAAGCATGTGTGATATCTAAAATTTTATCCAAATGATAAAATCAAACATTTTCACACATTCTGAAAATAAGTTATGTAAAATATGTTTTGTGGACACTGCATAACCCCATTATATAATCCGTTAGTCATACGAAGTCATGCAGGGAGGGGTATATCATTCCAACGTTTGCAGCGTATCTGGCAGTGCAGACTGCAGAGTCCGGTGTTGATTTCAGGCTCTGAACTGCAAGGATTGCCCACTCTGCCCACGTCTGCGCTGTGCGTTGTTCTGGTGGCTTTTCAGGGACTCGTGCTTTGTCCTGCACGTGATGTGTCCTGCGTCACACGATGGGGTTCATTTCTGGCGGTCAGGAGCTATAGTGGCTCTATTGAAAGTATCGCCTGCAAATGGCCTCCACTCTGGGGCTGTGGTACACACATACGACCAATCTAGGTGTGGCGGACGGTGTCCCGGAACCATTAATGTCGAACTAATGGTCCGAGGCGCGGCGGGCAGCACAAAGCCCGGTGAGATAATGAACTATCCTGTTGCATACGGCGTACACAGCTCGAGGAGTCGCAGGCAGCCATTCATCGTCTAGTGTTGACCATTACGCAATAAAGTAGCCGCCACACGGACAGTAAAGGATCGGTGGCACGGAAAGAAACACGAAAGCGTATATCTTCGCACTTGTGAGGTCTGCTTTGACTAAACTACTTACCAATCGCACAAATAATAAGGCTTGCGAGAACAACAAAGGCGGTGTTTGCTTTATTGCCGGTATGGTCCGAGTGTATGGCGCTCATTGCCGCTGCGCCGTACTTACATGCGTCACCACTGCACTGATTGGTCCTTATGAATTATTACCCTTATGACGGTATAATGGTTTGGAAATTAACCCCTGATTGTCAAGTCAATATTTGTAAGCTGTGTTTATGTTTATGTAAATGCAATAAGGCACGATCCTCGAATTATATAAATGCCGCCGCTGCTTGATTTTTTTCATGTGCTATCATTTCACAGTGCTATGCATTATGGTCCATAATTATTTTTCCATGTGTTTTGCATTATGGTCCATTATTATTTTTCCATGTGTTTTAGGTCCAACTATATGTTCAGCATAAGTATTGTACCTATGTGTTAAACTCTTTTCAAAATATCTTCAGTCACGCATTTTCAGTAAGGGTTACCTATCTCAATATCGAAAAAAGACGAAGTTTTTTTTTACCGTCACACTGTGCCGCACTGCGGATTGCTTATTTCATCTAAGTCTATGTGTGTTCGTCAGGTACGCGAGCCGGGTTATTGACGAGGAGGGTGCTGTCACCGATTCGTCACCTTGCCTGAAACGCGCCCCGTCTCGAGACGGTCGACAAGAAGCCGAACTCAGCTACACGCAATGCAAGGTCAGTAGCACACCCCAGTTTATCGATATTTTAAGGGTTATCGAATGACTTTCCAATTGTCATACAATTTCAAGAGCAGATTTTGCAAGCTGGCAACACGCACTCGTATCGATATGTTAAACAGTTAGTACGAATACCGGTCTCCGCCCCATCGAACATATTCTTTCTAGAAAGTTGAACATTAATGCATGTAAGGCGGTTAGGGGCTGCAGTCAATCTGTGGTCTCTGAACGCACGGATGGCTCGTCATTTCCGTGCCACATTTGGCGTAATTGCAAATATCACCGGTCTCCCCATGCGCAAGCAATTTTGTGGGGGACGAGCAGGCCTCGATCTGCCACATATAGCTGCAGGCGGCATTATGCCGTACCGCTCCAGTGTGATGGCTGAACATTCCCTAGGTGCACATATGTCCGTAAAGTCGATCGCTCCAGTGCAGATCCGGCCGTGTTACGTCAACAAAAGTGCGATAATGCAGGCCGAACTGTCTGAGTTAAATCGAACAGAAGTTGTTAATGCCCAGCAATGTATGATCTCATTTCGCTTTGTGTTTGGTGGTATTCCAGCGTGAGATTGGTTTGGAGTATTTTGATGCCGAACTAATAACACGGAGTCCGCGGCCGGATTGTGTTTTCCGCGGAGCGCTGGGTGCGCCGAGCAGCGCACGACTGCACAATGCGGCACGAGTCCTGCTGCAGCGCCACCTCAGCGACAGTCACTGGCTGACCCAGGTCCTTAGTGCGCTCTTGTCCTCTGGGCAGTTCGGTCCGCACAATTGACTGTTGTGATCACCCAAACCCTCCTTTCAAAGCTTTCTTGCTCTTTTTGCGACCCGCCTTCAAGCGATGCGGCGCCTAATTGAGGATATGTTCCTGCACTTTTCGGAAATTGATATCAGCTCAGTCGTAACGCGATTTTATGTTTCAAGCGGAAAATGCCAAGATGCACTTCGCTTCACTTTAACATGAGTTTGCCTCCGTGACCCAATGCTCAGTACTCACTTATGTACACACACCTTTCAAACCCCGTTTTGGTATCTGTTATTTTTATGCTATATCTTAACAAAGGCGCGGGAGCCGGGGGGGGGGGGGCAGTGGGGGCAGCTTGCCCCCGTCCCAACTCTGGGGCCGTGGGGGCGGTGACCCACAACTTTGACACGGAATACCGCATTTTTTTGCAAATGTTTTCTTTTTTATTGAAAAAGCCGAGGGATAAAAAATAAGTGACCTAAAACCGGTGAGAAAACTAGATTTGGGGATACCCTTGGTTGATGTCTATTATGGTGCGCCTCCCAGTCTGAAAGTAGTTCTCGCGCCCCTGTATCTTAACGTGACTTAAATAACATGTTTGTGCGTTTAAAAGAAGCACAGCGTTATGAATGAGCTGCAGCAAAGAAAGCTGATTCTAAACGGATGAGCTTTAGTTAACCCGTCAGTCGAAGTTCTAAAATAAATGAGGAAACCCTCTAACATGAGTTTGCCTCAGTGACCCAATGCTCAGTACTCACTTATTTCCATCTCTGAAAAAATCTGTAACGCGATTTAATGTTTCAAGCGCAAAATGCCAAGATGCACTTCACTTTAAGGACAGGCTCTACATTGTATTGCGCGCGGTTAACTGTGAGTGCACGCTGCCCTGACTGCAGCGGCAGCTGGGGAGGGGCCGTGATGGACCGGCCTGTTGTGAGCTCCCTCCGCGCGACTCGGGCCGGCCGCGTCCATGTCACGCCGCGATCAGCCGGTCCGGCCGTGATAGCTGTCACAGACGGCCGCCAGACGCGGCCCGACGGTGCAGTGGCCAATCCTGGACCGGCCCTGTTTATCCGCCTCTACGGCCGACGGATGGGGCGGGGCACCGGCGGTGGGACGCGGACGGTGGGACGGCCGGGGTGGGGCACCGGCGGTGGGACGCGGGCGGTGGGATGTGGACGGTGGGACGCGGACGGTGGGACGGACGGGGCGGGGCGCGGTGGGACGCGGACGGTGGGACGGACGGGGCGGGGCACCGGCGGTGGGACGCGGACGGTGGGATGGACGGGGCGGGGCACCGGCGGTGGGACGCGGACGGTGGGACGGACGGGGCGGGGTGCGGTGGGACGCGGACGGTGGGACGGACGGGGCGGGGCACCGGCGGTGGGACGCGGACGGTGGGACGGACGGGGCGGGGCGCGGTGGGACGCGGACGGTGGGACGGACGGGGCGGGGTGCGGTGGGACGCGGACGGTGGGACGGACGGGGCGGGGCACCGGCGGTGGGACGCGGACGGTGGGACGGACGGGGCGGGGCGCGGTGGGACGCGGACGGTGGGACGGACGGGGCGGGGCACCGGCGGCGGTGGGACGCGGACGGTGGGACGGATGTGGGCGTTGGGACGCGGGCGGGGCACCGGCGGTGGGACGCGGGCGGTGGGACGGATGCGGGCGGTGGGACCCGGATGGTGGGGCACGGGCGAGACGCAGCTCTCCCACCAACGGACACTCAGCCCTTGACCGCCATGCGTCAAGCCTTCTGAATGCACTCTGGGCAATATTTGATGCTGTATTTGCGCGAATTTATCCTCAAGTCTGACACCCACGCATCGTGGGGCATTGAGGCTGCCTGCACTTGCTTTGAGGCTTATTGGACTTTCCGTGGAACGGATGTGGACCTTTGGGTGCGCTCATTTGCAATTTAAAATGCTCCTGTTGCAATCCCCATGACGAGAAGAGATGCTGACATGCCATCAAGACATCAGTCGAGCCCACTTCCGATGGGCGGCAGAGGGAGGTGTCAGCCGTCCTATGGACGGCGCGGTCAGCTGGGCGCCCCGGCGCGGCGCGGGCCGGGTCGGTCACGTGACCGGGCCGGTGCCGCACGCGTATTTTGAATTCACCATAGGGCTCAGCCATTCCTAGAGGAATTCTAGGCACCTTGGAAAAAAGCGAAATCGCGCTAGGGATTTCAGCCGATCTGGCAGCTCTTCCGATGCCACTGGCGCGCCTTTTAATCCAAAGCGCCTTTTTCGTGTCTCATGTTTGCTCGTTTATTGCGGAGGCCTATATATGCTTCAAGATGCTGGAAAAGGTTGGTGATTAATAAGTATTTCCATTTTAGGTGCATGTTCTTTGCAAGAAATACAGTTGTTGTTGCTGTTGTTGTGGGTTAGGGCGCAAGAAATACAGGTATATGTCAACTTTAGGTCCTAACTATAACTGTGACGCTGTTGATACAAATCTGTAACAGCAAAAAAATTATGTTTTAGGTTACGTTAGGTTGTAAGTTTTAGGATGCATTGTAGGTTTGTAGGTAGTAGATTGGTAGGTTATAGGTGAAAAGGTAAGGTTAGTTCAGGTTTGATTATGTTTTTCTTTTAGTTACGAGACATATAAGTATCATTTTTGGATTCAGGATGTCAAATAATGGTCGGAAACACTAAATTCAAAATTAACTAATTTTGAAGCGGGGACCTCCATGTGTATCGGCCAAATAATGTAAGAATATGAAAAAAAATTATCCATGAAATCTGCTTAGGACTTAAACTTGACATTTACCCACATGGCTATAGGTATCACCAGCAGAATTATAATCTTTACATAATTTTTAAAAAATGCTGTAAGTGAAGATTATGAGTCGTGTAACCATTGTTACTATATTGATATTAAATATTGAATAGGTACAAGTCCGCCACCAACTTTATGGAACATTCCTTCTTCCAACAGGATCACTTCCAAGTAATCTGGAAGGCTGATGCCAAGTACATCTTGTGCGAGAAGCTTGATATGATTCCTGACCTGGAACCGGTGAGCATCAAATATAGCAATTTGCTTAAAGCAATAGCAATTGCTGATGATGGCAATTTCAATTTGCAGTAACACATATTATATGTAATTGGTTTGAGCCATGTTGCAATCATTTTATAAATGAAAACTTCCATTTTTAAAATGGAACTATCAACTTTCCCCACAGGCTTCGGTAACAAAGTTTTATCAATTGTGAATGACAATATTATTGGTATGAGTGGTGTGTGCGGTGATCTGTATTTGAATATAACGCGTCTTGTCACTAAGTATTTGTCATCTGCATTATAGCTGACTATTACGGTAATACGATCGTGCATTGGTCCCAGACAAGAATACCCCAGTGAGACCTTGCATTATTTCGTTTCAGGAGTTGATGGAGGGCACCACTGTGGCCTACCGATATCCGGCGTCAAAGGAATCGGCCCTGCAGTGGATTCAGCTGTACCAAGAGGCCGCCAACATCCCCCTGACGACGTACGACTCCATGTCGAATGGCCAAAGGGTGGTGTACTGGGTGAGAGCTTTAGTTTATGAAATACCAGTTTGGGCTCGCCGTGTAAAGCTCGGCAGGGGGGTACTTTTGCCCGAGCACTCGACCTGTGCCCGCCAATGGAAAATTCTGCTGGTGCAGAGCCTCCTGAGGGTTCAGCAAAGACCCGCCGTATGAAAGCCTGTCGGGGTCTACTGACAGAGGGCCCGGCGGCCTGGGCTCGCTGCATGAATCCCCAGCTTGATGCCGCGTACTGAGGACCAGTCATCCAGCCGTCATACCGGGTGTCTCGGAGGACTGGACGGGCACCTACCAGCGGGCCCGCTAGATTTCGGGAGGGTCAGCTGACCCCTTTGTCCCCCTGACTCCTCCCTGGGTGCGCCACTGCACCCAGTAACTTTTACTCTTTTATATCGCAGGAAGGTGCGGGTTAATGAAACACCATGATCAGGGTCAGTTAAAAAGGTAACGTTTTTAAATCGAGAAACTTTCATCCTCATTTAAATGACGGACTAATGAGTGGCAATTGATTTCATCACTTTTGTTAATGTTGTCAATTTTTTTTTCAGGCCAGGCTTCGTTGTCACCACGACGTCCCAGAAAAGCCGAGTCGTCCGAGGAAAAACCAATCCGCCAAGGACACCGGGTGCCCCCTGCGCCTGAAAGTGACTGTCGCCAACATTCCAAAACGGCAAGTTTCTCACCGTCTTTTGTCATTGGCACCTTTTACCAGGGCTGCGGAGTCGACCCAACTTTAGCCAACTCCGACTCAGTGGCGGCGGAAGGTATTCTAGGATAGGGGTGCAAACGATATTGAAGCGCCCCTTCCCGCTGGGCGCCCCTTACCATATACACGGCTGCAGTAACACAAACAGTGAAGAGACGTTTAATACGCCCAAGCACTAGGGGTGTAACCGCCCATACGGACAGTGCAATTTTACAGGCCCCAATCTAAGACCTCCCTTAACATTCATATGTTGTAAACCGCAAACCGCCCCCGATAAATGTTACACAAACTAATTTCCTCTCGCATATCGGCCATCAGGCGCCCCTTTTTGTCGCATGGAGCCTGCAACGCTATAAGCCCTCATATGTTCGTGTTGGCGTTCGGAGGCTATCGCCTTCAAAGACGTCTCCATAAATGTTTCTTTTTCGTCCCACACACAGGCATGCAGGCGCCCCTCTTCCGCATGGCGCGCTTCTCGAGTGGCTGCGCCCTCCTAGCCTTTATCACCTGGCAAGATTATATTCGACAGGGTCGGCCGCGGCAGCATCTGCCTTTGTTTCAGATAAGGATGCCCTCCACTCTTCAGCATATCAAAAGATACTTTTCCCCCGTCATTGCCACCCTCTTCGTGACACAAGTGCCTTTATCAGTTGCGGTGTCGCACTGCTCAGCTTTATGGCTGCCGCACCTCTTAACTTCCTGCCTCCTCTACAGATTTCGAGGCGCCCCTTTCCATAGCTTTAGGGTGCAGCTGCCCCCCTTGCCCCCCTGCTTCCGCCGCCACTGCTCCGACTCCGACTCCGGCCTCACAAAATCGACTCTGACTCCGACTCCGACCTATTAGTTCTGGAAAGCATTTATTTGGCCCTTTGGTTCACCGAACCAGTGCAGAGACGTGAACTTCGGGAGAAAAGAAAAGGCTGATCAAAATCGTAGGTCGATTTTGTTGTCTGACCACTTTGGATCATCGGGATAATTGCCATTTTGCTTTCACCAGACAACAATTTCACTTGATGAAAGGCGATTTTCGGACTACATGGCCGGAGTCGGTAAAATCTTATCGACTCTGGCCAAGAAAAAAGATCGACTCCGACTCCGACCAAAACTGTTGACTCCGACCGACTCCGACTCCGACTCCGCAGCCCTGCTTTTTACAAACGCCTTAGTTGATCAAACGATCAACCGCAATTGAAAAAAAAACTACATATTTGATGAAGGAGTTCGCTGCCGAAAAGATTTCAAGTCGCTATCTTTCTTAGTTGTGCCAATCTTGGCTCAGAAAACTAAAAACGGTGATAATCCGAAACATTTCACCTCGCTCGTTCCTTGCCTCAAAAGGTTTCTTGCTGGTACCTTATAAAAGTGCGTGGAAGGAGCGGAATTTCTTCTGAATAACACCATCGTCTCGTGTTTTTTTTTATATTTGTTGACGAATCCTCCCTTTCCAGGAATAGGTCTACAGACCCATGCGCGGCTTACGAGCTACGGGTGACATGTAACAAGAAGCCCCACAACCACGCCGTGGACAACGCTGCCGCTCTGAGACATCGACGCGTCTCTGAGCTGACGAAGGCCCGGCTGATGGAGCTGTTCCAGCACCACCACTCGCCCTCCACGGCGCTGGAGACCCTGAAACTACAGCTTCAGGAGGAGCATGGGAGCGCCTACCCGTCGGTGGCCGCAGACCGAGCCATTGTCCCAGATAGGATGGCCGTCTACTAGTAAGTTTTTAACAGCTTGATGCAAAGCCACACTGCCACAAGTTAGCAAGTCTGTAGGGACAGTATCTGAAATAATTAGACTTTCCCTATAAAGTTACACATGATTCTCATATATGAGATGCAATTGATCGTTACACGGAGCAGAGATGATAGGGCTACTCAGAAAAGAAGGCCGCATGTCTGGGATATGTGGTTGCGATCCGAGACTGATCTGGCCATTGACAATTTTTGGGTCCCCTATTGCAATCTGCCTGTTTTCGTGTCACATCCAGTTCTACTGTTATCTATGAATTGTGTTGTGCTAAAAACTCGCAACATTTTACGCTGCGATAAATGCACTCTGGTTTAGTAAAAGCTATCGATAATCATATTACGTACGCCTATGTGTCAGGGTCATTTCCGTTTTCCTGCTATTCGTGAAAAACCTGAAGGGGAATGGCGTCTAAACGCCCCCCTTCCGGCCCAGCGCAGGTTAACATTATTTTCACCTTGGATTTGTGTAATTCAATGCGCTGAGGGGTAAGCTATATTTTGATTGGGACGAATCAGGAACAAGTGGGACAGCTGAAGCTTAACCATAAGTACACTGTTATGCAATCGGTATTTTATCACAAAATGAAACTGACCACCACTTGCAGCTGGAAGTCAATTGACAATGCAATGTGTTTTCAGCCTGTACTACAAGCACTGTCGGGAGCGTTACCCAGCCTCGACCCAGGAGGAGACCATGGACCTCATCCGCCACATGAAGGACGTCCGCACGGCGGTCTCAGTCGAGGACGGCGAGACGGTGATCGCGGCGGTGACGCCGCTGATGGAGCGCGTCCACACGCTCCCCGACGCGGGAGAGGTGGTCTTTGTCGACGCCTCAGGAGGGATGAACCGGCACGGCCAGCGCGTCTTCCTGCTGATGTGCTGGAGCCCGGCCGGTGGTCTGCCTCTCGGTGTCATCGTCTCCACCTCGGAGACCGAGGCCGTGGTGGACAAAGCCTTCCGGCTGCTCGTCGGGATTTTACCAGACGGTACGATATACCTACATTTGCCATGAATTCCCATATCTGGCGGCTAAACTCTGAATTGTCCAGTCAGTTGTGCATTGGTGTATAAAATCCAATATCGTGTTTGACCGAGAATGCTTCTTTGACAGGCGCCTTTGGCGGGCGTGGAAGGCGCGGCCCTCTGTGCTTCATGACGGACGACTGTCAGGCCGAGCGGAACGCGCTGTCGGCGGTGTGGCCTGAGGCGCGGCTCCTGCTGTGCACGTTTCACGTGCTGCAGGCCGTCTGGCGATGGCTTCACAACGGCAAACATGGCATCGACAAGCAAGTGAGTAGTTTCTACTGGGAATGAATTTCCGTTCATTTTTGTCTAATTACCCCTTTTTGAGAAACACAGAGAGCGAGAGAGAGAGAGAGAGAGAGAGAGAGAGAGAGAGAGAGAGAGAGAGAGGGAGAGAGGGAGGCACAGAAAGAGACAGAGACATAGAGAGAGGGAGGGAGAGAGAGAGAGAGAGAGAGAGAGAGAGAGAGAGAGAGAGAGAGAGAGAGAGAGAGAGAGAGAGAGAGAGAGAGAGAGAGAGAGAGAGAGAGAGAGGCAGGCAGACAGCTGGGCAGAGGCAGGCAGAGGCAGGCAGTCAGGCATAGACAGACATAGGCTGGCAGTCAGGAATAGACATGCAGTGATACTGGTCTAAAGGCTGTAAAAGAACGTAAATGAGTTTGATTAATTTCATCTCAAACACCCCGTATATTTACATTTACCTTCACCCTTCACCCTTCACCCCTCCCGCCTCCCACACTCGGATACCAGTTAAATTGTGCATTTTCTTCCAGCACAGGCAGGCTATCATGGCACTAGCCAAACAGCTCGTGTACGCCAACAATGAGGCGGAGATAGCGACGACGATGGAGCTGGTGGCTACCGAGTGGGGCGAGCGCTACCCACTGCTGGACCAGTACCTGCAGGGTTTCGCTGCCCGCCGTCAAGAGTGGGCGCTGTGCCTCCGCACGGATGTCCCCACCCGGGGACACAACACGAACAACATCGTGGAGTCCGCCTTCAGAGTCCTCAAAGACTCTGTCCTCTACAGGTCAGTCTTTATTCATATGTTTCACCTAATTGCGGTTCAATAAATAAAACAGTTAACCTGGCGTTCATAGACAAACCTGTCTTTTAACTAAAGTTGATTGTAAAACTGTTTCGGTGACCGGAGGTATTGCAATAGATTCATTACTATTTTAAAATATTTCAAGTTGTAAGGTTGCCCAAAAGTGGCAAATGTTGAAGAAATGTCAAAGTTGCAGTTACAGACAAATTCCAATTAATAAAGACAAATAATTGGAAAAAAGCCAAAGCAGGGGAGTAGTTTTTCCTTTCAATATAGGTCGGAGGGCTGAGAGTGAGCCGGTAAAATGTTCTCGAAAACACCATCAAAATCCCTAGGACTGTGCAATTCTCCCCAGTGTCTGCCAAAGTTCAGAGCCTGAAGCCCCCGAAACGGAATTGGACCATACATCCCTTCGTCAAAGACGTTAATTACTAACTTGTGACTTTCATAGATTAACACGGATTAACTTGTGAATATCACGGTTTTACATTTCTGTTAACCCTACATGTGGAAGAAAAACAAACTTTCGCATTTCGGGTAGGTTGTGAAATTGTTAGTTGTGCTTTTGGTTGCTCTTCTGAAAGCCTTATTGTGTCCATACGCTGGCAGTCTACCGTTAATTATAGCTGCAAAGAAATTGTTGAAATATTCGCTTGACACGCGCTGTTTTTCCAGGACTCGTGCGTTCAACCTGCTGCAGCTGTTTGATTTCGTCACGGTCCAGCTCAGCAAGCACTACGCCAGGAGGGCGTGCGACGTGGCCAACGGCCGGCAGCGGGCGGCACTGCGCCGGTCCGCGGCGGCACCAGCCAAGAAACGGGCACTGTGACGCAGGTATTTTGCATGACACGAGAACTGATTAAGGTCACATAAGACAGCTCGTTTTCCAATGCTGGTCCCACCCGTACTGCCACATGGCTGTGCAAAGTGACCAATGCAATCGGCGCGCCCCTAAGCACCAATAAACCACATGGCTGTGCATTCACACACAAGAGTCTGTCACTGTACCGCTGTGCCACTGTAGGGCCGCGTGGTGTTGGCGCTGTGTGCCACATCTCGTGACTCGTTTCGCGTTTTTTTTTTTCTTGTTTCTTCTTTTTTCCCTTTGGGGGTCTGTTTTAAAAGGCCAAGCTGACAGTACTGGGGCGAATGAACAGGTTCGGATTTTCGTACAAGTAACCGTCCGTCAGTTTATGTTGTACAGTCTGTCTTAAAAGTCCGCGAAAAAGCAACGGTGGATCCATCAAGCCTGACCGAGGAAGGGCCTGCTCAATTTGAGTCATCAAAGCAATTGATATTCTCGTCCATTCCCCAGGTCAATTGGTTCGGTGACTTTCAAAGTAAAGCAGGCCTTTCTTCAGTAAGGCTTGATGGATCCACCGTCACTTTGCGCGGTACTTTTAAGACAGACTGTACATACGAATTTTACAGGATTTTATGTGTTGCCCCTCCCACAGGTGACGGAGTTCACCTATCAGGTGAAGTCGCTGACGTCGGTCGGCATCACCTACCTGGTGGACCTGAACGTCGGCGCCTGCACCTGCAGGATGAACCGGCGGACTGGCGGCTGCAAACACCTCCGAGCCGTGCGGCAGCAGACTGGCGCTGTGCCGGAGGCGACGGCGACAAAGGAGACGCGGAGGGCCTTGATGGACATCGCCATGGGGACCAGCCAGCAGCTGCCAGGCAACTGGTTCGACCCTCTGGTCGCCGAGCCGTCCACCTCGTCACCTCCTGGCCCCACGCCCGCCAGCGCCCCCGGAGTCGCGCAGCCCCAGCCGTCGCCTGGTCCCGAGGAGTACGACGACGACGCAATGGACTTCGAGGACCCCGCCGCTGCGGCGGCGGCTGTCAGTGGAGCTGAGCAGCGACGCTCAGATGACCGGACACGCCAAACCGTGGCGTTCATCCAGGAGTGGGCAGCCTTCATGTGCGAGGCAGTCGTCCAGGACGACACCTGGGAGAGGGCTGCCGCTGCCTTCCAGCAGAGGTGGGGCCAGCTGCCCACTGCTGGCCGCCAGTCCGCTCTGCACCAGTTTGGGGGTGCGCAGGGCTGCCGGCGGAACGCCACCCAGATTCCGGTCCAGCCGACCAGCACTGCCCGTCGCACCAGCACCAACGTGCGGGGTCGCGCTCGCTGGCCCGCTGGACGGCCGTGCCGCTCCGCGCGCACCGGGGAGCACGGCTACGTGGCAGCCTCCGCCAGGCGGTCGGCGGCGCCCCACAGCCTGGCCACCTGTGTTGACCAGAACCGCCCCCTGGGGCGCTGAGTGGTAGAGGTGAAGTGGGGGTGACCGGGGCAAGTTGGTGCCAGGGGGGGGGTAAGTTGGGACGGAAGGGATATTTCCAATACTTCTCGACAGTTGGCGTTCAAACTTATTTTGTACATGCACAGTAACGCCGTCTGTTTGTCAACGTGGTGTCGGCGCGTGCTGAGGTAAGTGCTGTTAATAATCGCTACAAATGTGTTTCAGGTACCAAAAGTGATTTTCTTGCTGTGAAAATATTCTCTTCTAGTGTCGTTGTGTGTGCCTTTTTGTTTGCCGCAGGAGTACTGCAAACGTTTGTGTTTTGTCGTTAATGCCCGCATGGATTAGCGATGATTGTTCATGTGAAACATGAATAAAAATGTGTTTAGATAAACTGTTTTTCCTAGTGTACCAACTTGCCTTAGGCCCTGGCCCAACTGACCCCCCGCCGCGGGGTAAGTTGGGACATTGGAGGATGGCCGCTTTGATCAGATATGACACCAAGACGATGCTACCATCTCTCTTATATTAAGTCTTCTTTAAAAGATAAAGAAATCAGATCTCAGTTAATAGCCAACAAATAATGATGTATAGTTATACCGAAGTTATGACGCTTCAAGCAATAACTGGCTCAACTAGCGTTAGCGGAATGACGCAAAATTAGCAGGTGACCAGTGACCACTCCCAGTTCGCTAATATGTTTGCATCATTAACATACCTTCCACTATAAGCACGGTTTCTCAATCTTAACATAAAATATAACATCTTTTCATGTAATTTGCATCTCTAATATACCCCAGTCAAACTTGCATCACTAATGTAGTGGGGGACTTCTTGGGACGAATTAGTTTCTAGGGACTTACACATTTATGCTCATTTCCCCACATTTGTCGCCAGGGGGAGAATTCCACAGAATTTTCCGCTAGGAGTGGCTGAGCCCTATGGTGAATTCAAAATACGCGTGCCGCACCTGATCACTCAGCCGACCGCCGGGCCGCGGCGCCACTCATGTGTGGCCGACAACGTGACTGTTTTGCGGCGCGGCCGTCGACCGGCGCACTATCTCGACGGGCGGCGGCGGGGGCGGCGGCGGCGGCGGCGGCGGCGTCGGTGACGCTCGCGCGCGCGCAGTCCACGTGCGGTGCGTCGACGTTCGACGGCGGCGACGGTCGTCGGTCAGTGCTGCGAAAATGGGCACGGCGGCGACACCAGCGGCGAAAAGGCCGGCGGGATAACCAACGCACATGACCTGGCCGGTGTGGTGGTGTGCTTGGCAGCTGCAGGCGGGCTTTGACGGCGGTCCCGGGGGGCGGCTAACCGAGCCGCGTGAGGCTCCCGGACCTCCGTTCTACAGCGCACGGGTGAGTGCCAGTGGAGCCGCTGCTCACTGACAGAACATGTGTGCATTTATTTTATACAATCTTATGCTCCATATACACGCAAAGTGGCATGAAGTGAAACTCGCTATGGAGTCAGCAGTGGCTGATCCAGAGTTGATAAAACTTAGGTACTCTTGAGCTTAAAGGTCACCTTCATAGGACTGCGAGAGCGTTCCTCCAGTTTTGAGAGGTCGTCTCTCTGAGGCGGGAGAATGTTTCGTCAAAACTGAGAGGACTTTCAAGCAGAGCTGAGAGAGCGGCCTACAAAGCTAAGAATCAACTTCTAAAAGGATGAATCCCATGTATAAATTGGAGTATGTAGAATCTCAGCCGTTTGCAAAATGCAATTACTTGTTTTCATAATAAAACAACTAGGAAGTTTGCTTCATTGTGGTTTCTCATGAAACGTTTTTGATTCTACAACATCTTGAATAGCTCTGGCGCTGCCACAAATTGCATGAGGATTGTAAAATAAGGCAACCATTATGAGCAAAAATGATTTAAATAACAAGTGAATTACGTGTGATTGCGATTATGAAATGCAACTTGAGTTTTGTTCAAGACATGGCACATGCATAAAACCTGAAGAATTGAATTGCACTACTTGGTAGCTTGATGCAAAGACCTCTGTTAAATGTAGGGGAGAGAAGTCATATTGCGCCTCTTAAATGCGCCACACTTTCCTCCTGCCCAAAAATCGATTCCAACGAATATTCGAATGTGTTACTTCACCACCAATAACTCGCTCCTCTTCCGGTCCACGGGGGCAGGTGAGGTGTCTCAGCTTTCTCGCAGACCATTTTTGTGTGATTTTCTCTATTATTTTACGCATTTCAATTTTCGACCTTTGCTATTGTCATGGTCCTATTCTTAGAGATAGTGATTCAACTAATTATCATTCTTAAGTTCGTTTAATGGCAGTTTTTAAAGCTTCTCACCACTGTGGCTTCGCTGTTGCCGCCATATTTCAAGCTCATGAAAAATGTGTTCCATTCGTAATTGCGTCCACCCTATTTGCGCCCTATTCTTCAACCCAAAGAAACAGCATCTGGTGGTTGGGACACAGTTTATTGAGCACTTTGATCATTAGAGCGCTTAACTTACCATTACCTTAGCCTTCACAGCATAAATGGTTAATGGGCTGAGACGTTCAAATAAGCTACTTAGTTAGGCGGCAAACTTTTGTTTTAAATAGGTCGCTTTAACATGAGAGGCATGGGCGTTTTTTGATGGGGGGGGGGGGGGGTGGGAGGCAAATGTTGTCCGTAAATGCGCCATTTGCAGGTGTGTCGGAAAACTTTTCTCTTGTTAACCTTCGCCCTGGTGGGGGGGGGGGGGGCCATTTTGGCCCCCCCCTGTGGTTTTTCAGCGATAACTCAGAAACCACTTGAGTTAGCGCCCTGAAACTTTGTATAGCTGTTTATTCAACATTTTTACATCATGTTCTTTTTTGGGGGGTTCGGGTCAGGTCAGGTCAGGTCACAAGGTCACCAAAACTGACACCACCTCTAAAAAAGTTCAAAGCTCTCTCAAAGGCACAGCTTTTATCCGATCTATGTAAAATTTACAGTACTTGAAGATGTCACCCAGCTCTACAAAATGGCTATCTCGGATTTTTTATAAATGTGACCTAAGGTCAGGTCAGGTCATCGCTGCTCCCCATTATAAGTCAATGGGAGAATCGAAAAGTAGTTGTTTTTCAGCTAAATCGGGCGTGATTGTTCCTATATTTCGTTATTGAAGTGTCTTGGGTCAGCAAATCACAGCCCATGTGAAACCATTTGCTTGTGACCTCGCTGAGGTCACGCTAGGTCATCTCCCTGGTCACCAGAGGTCACCAGCGGTTTTTCTGCACTTACTTGTTATTGAATAGAGATAGAGACTCCGTTCGACGTTTATCGTGTTTGTCTCGTCAATGCGGATCGAATGATATGCAGCATGACCTATTTCGGTAAGGTCATGACCTTGACCTGAGGTCAAATTTTCAAAATGACCTTTCGAGGTCAAACTATATATCATTCGACGCGTCTCGACGAGCCAAGCACGATGGTGCATGAATCGTTTCTCTATTTTCTCGTGAATGCATGCTATAGTTAAAAACATTTTCAACGAAATTTGCCAAGTTGACCTTGCATGACCTCTGTAGGCCAAACCGTTGAGCTGAGGTCAAATCTGACGAGCCTTGGCGAAAGAGCTTGAAAAGAGCTATCGATTGCTTTTTTCCGCGGCTCTCTAGCTCTTCTAGTTTCCGAGCTACAGCGGAATATGTCCGGCAACACCGAAAACACTGAAATTTGACCTATGATGACCTCTAGCGACCTCAATATTGACCTTAGCGAAAAAATGACCAAAATACTTTCGAACGTACTTGTTATGGGCTTTCGTTTGCTTTTTTCCGCGTCTTCCTAGCCCTCTTCGTTTTCGAGTTAGACGGGGGGGTCATTTTGGCCCCCCCCCCACCAGGGCGAAGGTGGCTCAGACCCACACCAGGGCGCGGGTTAATTTTTCTGGATGTGATACAAATTGGGAGTTGCTATTTGATGCCAAAAGAACTAAGGTACAATTTGAGATATCATCAAACATGACAGCTGGTCAACTTAGCCGCAATAGGCCGATATCCTTAACCCTCGCCGGCACAGGGGGGGGGGGGTTGATGCAACCTCCCCTAAGGTTTTTCGCGAATAACTCGCGTAAAAAGCGGCCGGTCGCGACGAAACTTTCAGTACCCTCGCATTGATCAATTTTACACCTACCCTGAAAATTTCATGACCCTGACCCAAATGACCTTTGACCTGTGACCTCTTTTCCGAGACCATGTTTGGCCGGAATCGCGATTCGGCGTATGTCGGCTCGCATCAGCCGCGCGTTTGCAAGCTTTTCGTGGTTTCAAACGTTCAAACATTCAAACACGATAGTGAAGGTTTCAAGGCGATATCTCCCACCGTTTTGCCGCAATCGCCGCGGAAAATTTGAAAAAGTCTATTTTTCCGAAAATTTGACCTTTGACCGGTCAAAAGTAGGTCAAATGTTGACCTAGGACCAAAAAATATACCACCAAT